AGTGTAGACTTTTATAGCCTCTTCTTTCAAATCCACCCAGCCTCTGTTCATTAACCAGTTCCAAAGCTGACACACATTTTTAGATATTTGTTATGGTAAGAATACCACTTCTGGTACTCATTTCTATTTTAGTCTTTATTGTGCTACTAGGACAAAATACCCGAGATGGGGGAATTTATAATTGACAGAAATTTATTTTCTCACAGTTCTAGAGACTAAGTTCAATATCTCAGTGCTTGCACTTTGCAGTGGCCTTCTTACTGTGTCATCTCAAGGTGAAAGACTGAATGACAAGAAAAGGAAAAGGAAATGAAGGGGGCCATTTTATACTGGCATTAATCCCACCCGTGAGAACAGAGGCCTCATAGCACAATTAATTCTTTAAGGTAACGTGAAGTAGTATTGTGATAGCAATTAAATTTCAACAAAAGTTTTGGAGGGAACACATAACTTTCTTTTGTTTTCCTTTTTGATTTATCTGGACCCTGGTTAATAGTCATCACAATTAACATATTGGTATTTTTTTAAGGTTATTTGGCTTCCACTTTTACATTTTCTCTAATTCCATAGCAAGACATCCATTACAGGTTCAGTTTAGATTTGTGGATTTACCACATCTTTGAGGCAGGCCATTGTTCCTCTGAAGAAACAATCTTTTCACATGAGAGGGAATAAAATCTGAGCTCCCAAATTCCACCTCCATTCTTAAATCTCAGATTTTAGGGCAGTTTGCATTTGTGATAGTCCCTTAGCTAATATCAATGTGTGTTTTAAAAGTCCAATGTTGTTTGACAGATGATGGCTCCGACCATGGCTATATGTTTAGCTTTTCATGTTTTAGGGTTCAGGGATCCATTACTCCTCCCAGAGATAATTCACTCTGAAGCTAAGGATCAGAGTTGTTGGAGTTTTCCCTAAAGCAAATTTTGCCCTCCAGTCCATTGGCTTATAATAGGGAGTTGGTAACAGTCCTTGACAGAGCGATTCCTCTTTGGAAGTCTCACAAAAATAAGTCAAACCCCATCAGCAGCCTCAGTTAATTAGTTAACTGGCCCAGAGACTAGGAAGTAGAGACAAGGTATTCACAAAACTGAGTTTGACTCTGTTTCTCTGTGAAGTGCATAATAAATGGAGGAAGTGGGATGGTGGTTAAGGAAACTTGAGAGACTACAGACACTCAGAGGAGGATACAGTATAACTCCAGCTTTCATGTGGAGATGAAGTTGTGGATGGGAAGCTTTTATAAAATGACCACAAAGTAAAATAGCTGCTGGAGTCCTCAGGGAAAGGAGGGGCAAAGTGGTAGAAGGAAGCACAGACTGGGAAGTGGACTAGAGTTTCAGGATTTTGTTTGATCACCGTTGGATAGTGATTCTCTTTAGAGATCCAATTTTAGTGTCTAAACTAGACAATAAGATTCTCTGAATACCTGTCTCCTTATGAGAGGGAGTGGAACAATATGTGATCCCATCTACCAATAACTTCATTCTTACCAGTTGTGTCAGAATTTTAGAACTTCTGCAGCGTGGGCAATAGAACAGAGAAATAAAGAGCACAGACCCTGGTGTCAGGTTCATTGCATCTGAATTCTGGCTATGCCTCATGTTGTGGCTAATGTGTGACTGTGGGCAAGTTAATCCAACTTTCTGTGGATAAGCTTTTTTTTTGACTAAGGTATCTCTCTCTATGTAGGGATTTTTTTCCCCTTGAGACAGAGTCTCGCTCTGTCGCCAGGCTGGAGTGCAGTGGTGTGATCTTGGCTCACTGCAACCTCTGCCTCCCAGGTTCAAGCAATCCTCCTGCCTCAGCCTCCCTAGTAGCTGGGACTACAGGTGTGCACCACCATGTCCAGCTAATTTTTGTATTTTGAGTAGAGATTAGGTTTTCACCATGTTGGTCAGGATGGTCTCGATCTCTTGATCTTGTGACCCACCCACCTCAGCCTCCCAATATGTAGGGATATTTTTAAAAAGTTAACATGTTTAACACATGTAAAATATTTCTCAGAGCATAAAAATTGTAATATACATGTTTTTGCAAATGGAATAATATAACATAAATATTCTAAACTATTACATGAAAGGGTATATTTTAAGGTACATAGAGAATTATAGTTTAAACTTTAATCGTCACTATTATGTGCTTAGCAGAAAATCAACAGTGTTTAGAGTGCCTTTGCTGAATGCATCATCACTATCATCACTCTCTTCCTCCTCTTTCTCCTCAATGTATCTAGCAACAGTCCTGAAGAGGCATTAGACTTGATTTATTACTTCCGGAGTGAGATGTAAGGTGCAGTCCCCAGAACCCTTGAGCTTCTTCCACAGGAGTTTCTCTTTCCACAGGTTCCTTTTGGGACATGCCTCGTCAGTAGAGGAGACTCCATGGTAAACGATGTTAGCACGCCATGAACTGTGTCCCTCCCTTTCCCCACTGCCCCAAGCAGGATGCTCCACATCTTGTCTTGCTGCCTCCCTTGTCACTTGTCCCACAGATGGGGTTGCTCCAGGTTCACACACTCCCTGCCTCTCCTCCCAGGCTCCTCCCTTCACACCCATTACCACCATTCCTGGAAGGTCCCTGCTTCTTCCTGGGCTGCTGAAGGCCATGGGAACTGGGCACCTGGTTGCTGCTTTGATGTGCACAGTTTGACAAGCTGTTTGTGAAAGAAGACCTTATCTGTGACCACTCCCAGGGTGTGCCAGGAAGAAGGCTCCCCCGACCCAATACCAGAATTTCCTTGTGTCAGAGCTATCTGTAGGGCCTCTGAGCTTCTACACTTGCCCTCTGCTTAGAATTCAAAATCAAAGCTCTCATTATAGTAGGAGAGATCCACAGGAAAATAGCATCTGTTGTGGATTTAAGGAACTTACAACTTCTCTGACAACTATATACTCAAATATATACATTAAATAACTGAGGTCTTGATAGAGTAGGTGTTTCTGAGTATTCAGTGATGCATACAAAAGAACGAGATAATGTCCTTTGCAGGGACGTGAATGGTGCTGGAGGCCATTACTCTTACCAAAAGAACACAGGAACAGAAAATCAAATACTGTATATTCCCACTTATAAGTGGAGCTAAGTGATGAGCACAGTTGAACAAATAAAGGGGAGCAACACACACTGAGGTCTTTTGGAGGGTGGAATGTGGGAGGAGGAAGCGGGTAAGTAAATGTAACTAATGAGTACTATGCTTAGTACCTGGGTGATGGAATGATCTGTACAGCAAACCCTCATGATACAAGTTTACCTATGTAATAAACTTGCATTTGTATTACTTAAAATAAAAGTTAAAAAAGAGAAGAAAATCTTATGCCCTGAAGTATTTTTGTCTTATATTAAAATAAATTAATTGCCTGTTTAATTTTCACAAGATAAATATGTCATGGTATCAAGTATACTGGACTCTTACGTTACGATATCCTTTGATAACTGAAGAATATTTACAGAAAAAAGAATATTTATAGAAAAATAGAAGTCATTCTCTGGCTGTAATCATTTTAAAAGGCATAACTTCTTTTTGTAAAAGCAGAAATAAATTGGATGAATTTAAAAACACATACGAACCAGACAGTGAGAATAAACAATGCTAACATTTGTCATCTTTGTTTAATATCATAGTTTTTTGTTTTTGTTTTTTTGAAACAGTTTCCCATTCTATCACCCAGGCTGGAATGCAGTGGCACAACCACAACTCACTGCAACCTCAACCTTCTGAGCTCAGACAATACCCCACCTCAGCATCCTAAGTAGTGGAGACTACAGGCACATGTATATGCATACCTGGAGACATATATATATATATATATCTGGAGAGAGAGAGAGAGCATACCTGGAGACATATATATATATATATATATATATATATATATATATATATATATATCTGGAGAGAGAGAGAGAGAGAGAGAGAGAGAGAGAGAGAGAGATGGAGTCTCACTATGTTGCCCAGGCTGGCCTTAAATTCCTGGGCTTAAGTGATCTTCTTACCTCAGCCTTCCAAAGTGCTAAGATTACAGGCTTTAGCCGTCACACCAGGCTCATCATTAGTTTTTATACAGAGAAAAAAAAACTTAGAAACTGTTAGGCAAATACTATGAAAAATTGTAATATATATTCTTATATGTCAGATTTTTATTTTTTAAACTATATGAGAACTAATTAATAAAATTTAGTATTAATCTGTCTTTTAAAACCATACATAAAGTTTATGAAAAAGCTTGTAATTTCCTGCAACTGAATTTTGTATTCAATGTTATGGTATTGTTACTAGTCCAAGTTGAACTATAGGTATCTCCCTTAATCTATTTAAATTCTGTTTAGTATTTTATCATATTTTGTTAATCCATTTGTCCCAATTCATATACTCATCTCTCTTTCTGTGAATATTCAGGTTAGTTTTTTCTTCCTAATTTTGCATTCTGATTGGCACTTATTCCCTGAATTATAAATGACTATTCTATGATGATTCTGGTAACTATTCAATTTCATCACACCATGACTGACTTCATACTAACAAGCAGTTGACTTCACATGGCTAGCTACTTTAAGTTTCTTTAGGCATCAACTCTCTACAATTCTCACATCGACAATATCTGTATTTTGTTAGCTCAAACTTTGCTGGACATGTTAAATATTTATAAATATAAATTTAACCTACTTCTTGAGGTACATCTTGAGAAGTTTGTGAGCCGAAAAAGACGTGGAGGAACCACTTAATGCCACAGCACATTGTTTTAAATTATTTGGAATCAGTTAATTCCTTCCCAACTTTTTGCCATGCCTGACACAAAAGAGGAACCTACAAATTTACAGGTAGTAGAAGGAAATCTACACTTCTCTGCTCCCCTCTGGATTGCTAGAGGACATGTGAACCCTCAGTTGTTTTCTGCTGAGCAAAAGCAAAGTCCATCTTGAACTTAGATAGCTTGCCAAATTATTTGCTGGAAGAGGACCTGACTTGTGACCACTCCCAGTGTGTGCCAGGAAGAGGCTTCTACTGGTGCCAGAATTTCTTACCATCAATGTTCTGTCTACGCCCCGAAACTCACTCCTTGACCCCATCCCTTTTGCTTGATTGATGTGGTTCTTATCTTTCAGATCCTAATATATAGCTCCTACAGCTACTTGGCCTGAGAAGCCACCTCAGATTCAGCCAACAGGTAAGTGGGCATTACAGGAAGAAGGCGCCTCTGACATGCACTGTAAATCTAAAATCTTAGGGAAGATACAACATGAGTTTCTGTCCAGGAGATTTTAGCAGTAATGAAGTCTCAGTGGGATCCAGGGTTGTTTTTTGTTTACCGACTCTGTATAATCCCCAAACTCTCAAGAGAAGCATTTGAAGCTATGGATGTCTCAGAGGACCTTCCTGGTCTCAGAAATTCTGAGAGGAGGTTTTAAGGAAGGTAATGGATGCTTTGCTCTCCACCTCTCAGAACCTTGTTCTCTGTGTTCTCCTATAGAGATTGTTGATTTGCCTCTTAAGCAAGAGATTCATTGCAGCTCAGCATGGCTCAGACCAGCTCATACTTCATGCTGATCTGCATGATGTTCCTGTCTCTGAGCCAAGGTAAGATCTCTTTTCTACCAACCAACCCTGTCTAGCCCTGAAGCCTTCACTCTATCCCCAAGCATATAGATCTACGTGTAAAAGAGAAAGAGAGAGAGAAAGAGAGAGAGCAGAATCACCATTAAGGATTGTTTTGCGGTGTTTAGTGATCTTTATTGCTGATCTCATCACATTTGCATACATCCACATTTCATTAAGGAGTTTGAGCTAGAATTTAAAATAACCCCTTATAAGCCACTGCCACAGTTGGCCTGAGTTAATCTGATTAACTTTATACATGATGGTGGATTTGGGGATGTCTGTGTGTAGAGTCACTAAGGAGGTGGATAACTGAGGAGAGCCTTGTGTTCAGGTAAACCAACACAGGCTTGAGAAAAGTAGAAGCCTGAGTCCTTCAAGGCAGAAGAGCCTGAGTCCCAGACATAAAAGGGAAACTGGAGACATGTTTCTTTAGCATATCCATTCTGTGTGTTTGCCCTGATCAAAGAAACCAAAAGGAGAAGATACAGGATGCAGGAGCAAAAGTGAGCAGTCATCTCATAATAGACTATATTCTGTTCCTATAAAGAAACCTCAGAAGCTTCCACCTCATTTTCCAGGCTTTACCTTACCCTGAGAACCTCTTTTAATTGTTTCTTCTTTTTCAGGCCAAGAGACCCAGACAGGATTGCCCCAGGCCCGGATCAGCTGCCCAGAAGGCACCAATGCCTATCGTTCCTATTGCTACTACTTTAATGAAGACCGTGAGACCTGGGTTGATGCAGATGTGAGTGAGGAGGGCAGTGTGGGAAGGGAGGCTCATGAAGTGGGGAAACTGCCACTCTCCAGTGTGTTCAGTGGCTGCAATGAGATAAGACTGAACCCCTCATTACCCGATCATCAGCTCCAAACTTTCCAATCTACTTTATCCCACTATTCAGCACATTCCCAGCACAAAGATGCTGGTGGTCGATGACAGCATCAGCAGGGACATTACTGTGTGTCCTTTTTCTGATTTATCCTCTTAAAGGACTCAGTATATCCTCACAACTTCCACCTCCACTGAGTGCTCCATTTTCCTCCCCAACAGCTCTACTGCCAGAACATGAATTCGGGCAACCTGGTGTCTGTGCTCACTCAGGCAGAAGGTGCCTTTGTGGCCTCACTGATTAAGGAGAGTGGCACTAATGACTTCAATGTCTGGACTGGCCTCCATGACCCTAAAAAGGTAGGCTGCAGCCTTCTTTATCTCCTAATGATCAGGTTTGAGAAGTAAGAATAAGGTTCAAGCTCTGGTCTCTTAAGTACCAGCTTTTATCACTTTACAGAAATCAGTCTGCTTACAGATCCTATAATGTTCTGTGTAGCCAGGTGCACTGCCGATGTTTGGAGATACAGGTGGAAGGATGAATTTCCTAGGTGTCCTGGGTATTCATGAATAAACTAATCCTGTCTACAGTCAACAAAACATCTTTATGCACCAACTTCTTACCTATTTTGTTATTGCTAGTGTCGTAAGAGAGACTAGATTGCTGACTATATAGAAAAGAACACTCACTCATGGTAAAGAATCTACTGCTGGCATTTGGGAACCTGGTAGTAATCTAAATAATATAATAACAACTAATGGTCATCCAATGCTATGCTGGATATGAGGGTCATGGGCCTCAAAGACAGAAATTCACAAACCACTTTTTAAGTGAGCTACTCTGGATCTCTGTGTCAAATTAGAAACATTTATTTCTTGGTGAAACAGGGGTAGTGAGTCGGACAGCCCAAGAAAGAAGAAGTTGAGAGCAAAAGTAAAGGAAAGGAAACAATATTCAGCAAGATAACAAGGTTTATTCTTCTCATGTGTCTTGGCATGTTTCTGAGTGTACACACAGGCCCAGTGATTCTATTGATTTCTGAGTGACCACTGCCTCTGTTCTGGATCTTCCCCATCTAGAACCGCCGCTGGCACTGGAGCAGTGGGTCCCTGGTCTCCTACAAATCCTGGGACATTGGAGCCCCAAGCAGAACGGATCCTGGCTACTGTGTGAGCCTGACCTCAAGCTCAGGTAAGAGGCAGGGAATCCATCTGCCTGTTTCTCTTCTCTCCTGCTTAGCTCTAAGGATGGGACTGGGACTGGTTAGAGGAAAGGTAGCTCCTCATCCAGGAAATGGATGTTTGTTTTTTGTACTGAGTCCTAAAGCCAGGAGGGTCACACTCTTTCTGTTCTCTCATCTCTAACTGTTCTCATTGACTTATAGGATACAAGAGTTGGAAGGATGTGCCTTGTGAAGAAACGTTCTCCTTTGTCTGCAAGTTCAAAAGCTAGAGGCAGCTGGAAAATGTCTAGAACTGATCCAGCAATTACTACAGAGTCAAAAATTAAACCGGACCATCTCTCCAACTCAATGTGGACTCACTCTTCTCTGCTGAATTTGCCTTGTTAATGTTAGTATTTTACTCAGCCCAGTCTTTGGAACCCTAGATAATGAAAATAAACACGTTTTCACCATAGTGCTATCTTACTGTGTCTGCTATTTCCACAGCTGATGCCTGGGTAGTTGAGATGGCAGTGATTACAATTAAGCTCACTCTGGCCTATCCACTTTTAAAAACTCTATCCACATGTCATGCATATTAGAATTCAGTATTTAAGAACAGATGTGGCCTTGCTTATGACAACGTGCTGGCATATCTCAAAGATACTTTGCATTCAGTTCCAGTCCTCTTAAATAAGGGTAGTATCACAGAAAAGCAAGTTACACAGGGTTTTTTTTTTTTAAATATTTTACTTCCCAATGCACATAAATGTTTTGTTTATACTATACTGTAGTCTATTATGTGAGCAATAACATTATGTCTACAAAGGAAATATACATAGTTTAGTAAAATAGCAGGTTATTGCTAAAAAAAATGCTAACAATCATCTGAGCCTTCAGCAAGTAGTATTCTTTTGCCGGTGGATGGTCTTGCCTCGGTGCTGATGGCTGCTGCCTGATCAGGGCAGTGGTTGCTGAATGTTAGGGTGGCTGTGGAAGTTTCTTAAAATAAGACTACAATGAAGCTGGCCACAGTGATTTGATTCTTCCTTTCATGAGTGATTTCTCTATAGCCTATAATATTGTTTTCTAACATTTTCCCCACAGTAGAACTTTTAAAATTGTAGTCACCCTTTCTAAACCTTGCTACTTATTTGTCAGCTAAGTTTACATTTTGGTCTAAACCCTATGTTGTCATTTTAACAAGGTTCACAGCACCTTTGTCAAGAGTATATTCCATATCAGGACACCACTTTCTTTGCTCATCCATAAGAAGCAACTCCTCACCCTTTCAACTTTCATCATAAGATTGCAGTAATTCAGTAACCTCTTCATGCTGCATTTCTAATTTGAGTTATCTTGATATTCCTACTACATTCACAGTTACTTGCTCCACCAAAGTCTTGATCCTTTCAAAGTTATCCTCAAAGGTTGGAATTAACTTCTTACAAACTCCTGTGAATAACAATATATTGAGCTCCTCCCTTAAATTAAAAATATGTTCTTAATGGCATCTAGAATGATGTATTCTTTCCAGATGGGTTTCAATTTACTTTGCCTTGATCCATCAGAGGAATCACTATGTATGGCAGCTATAGTTTTGTGATATGTATTTGTTAAATAACAAGAATTAAAAGGTGAAATTACTTTTTGATCCCTAGGCTGCAAAACAGATTTTGTGTTAGAAGCAGGCATGAAAAAAATCACAAATCTTGCATATATCTGTATGCCTAGGTGACAAGGTGCATCATCAATGAGCAGTAATATTTTTGAAAAATCTTGATACATAGGTCTCAACAAATAGGATTAAAATATGCAATGAACAATGCTATAAACAGATGCTATCATCCAGGTTTTAGTGTCATTACCTTTATTATCTGAGCTAGATCTTCCAGATAACTTGTTACAGCTTCTTCATCAACACTTGCTGCCTTACCTTGAACTTTTATGTTATGCAAACAGCTTCTTTCCTGAAACCTCATAAATCAACCTCTACTAGCTTCAGACTTTTCTTAGGCAGTTTCCTCAACTCTCTCAGCCTTCATAGAATGTTGCTGACTTTCTCAAAGTCAGCAATAAGAATGTGTTTTTTAAATCATTTGTGTTGTGTTCACTGAAGTAACACTTTTAACATTCTTCAAGAACTTTTTCTTTTTATTCACAATTTGGCTTTTTGGCACAAGAGGCCTTAATTTTAGCCCATCTTAGCTTTGGACATGACTTCCTCACTAAGCTTAATCATTTCTAGCTCTTAATTTAACTAGAAAGACATGCAGTTCTTCCTTTTACTTGAAGAATTAAAGACCATGAAAAGGTTATTAATTGGCCTAATTTCAATATTACTGTGTCACTGGGAATAGGGAGGCCTGAGAAAAGGGAGATAGCTGGAGAAGTGGACAGTGGACACATTTATTGATTAGGTTTATAATTTTATATGTTTCATCGAAGCCCAAAATAATGACAAAAGTAACATCAAAGATCACTGATCACATATCACCACAACAGATATAATAATAACAACGTTTCAAATATTGCAAAATTACCAAAATGTGACCCAAAGACTTGAAGTGAGCACACGATATTGGAAAACAGCACTGATAGGCTTGTTCAACGTAGAGTTGCCACAAACTTTCCATTAAAAAAACAAAAACAAAAACAAAAAACAAAAATAAATGCAGTATCTAGCAAGCACAATAAAATGAAGTATGCTTATATTCATGTAAAACCAGTTCAAGTTACATGTGATTGTTGATGGTCTACAGATGGCTGTAGTATTTGATATTCATGAGATTTTTACATAGCTATGGTCCGAGGATGTCAAATGTTTGCTCTATATGCAAACTGAAGCCATGATGGAAATGGCAATTTAAGGGAAATTTTCAGATCTAGAGTGCTGAACGCGTAGTGGAATGACCTAGAGACTTGGAATCCAGCAGCAGTTGTTATGTGGCCCTCCCTGAATACATAATCAACCAATAAATAGTTAAAATATCCAGGTATACTTAGTTACCTCCTTGAAGAGTACCTCAACAGATACAGTCAAATTCTGAAGTTCTGAGTCTAAGGAGTTTAACAAATTAATTTTGTGAGGGCCCAATTCAGACCACAACACCATCCATATCAATAATACCATTAAATGTGATTTGATAAAACAATCCAATCAAAAAACACATGTTGTCTTAAAACAGCCACCACAGTAGCAAAATCAAGATCCAATTATGTGGTATCTATAGGAGTTCTGGCTTAAATTTACAGAATTACTGAATGTTTTCTTCCAAGTGTTTGATAGTTTTATCTCTTAAATGTAAATCTATATTCCATTTGAATCAATCTCTATATACAGTGTAAGAAATAGAAACCAGATGTGTTCCTTAGCATATAGCTATCTAGTTGTTCCAGCACTATTTGCTGAAGAGTATTCTTCTCTTTTGAATTTCCAAGATACACTTGGCAACAACAACTAACTATAAGGGTAAAAGTTTATTTCTAGAGTCTGCATTCTATGCCACTAATAATGTTGTTTTTCAATATGACAATTCTACATAATCTTTTATTACTTTAGCTTTGTAATAAGTTCTAAAATCTGAAACAGTAATCATAAGAACTTGTGCTCTTTATCAAAAATGTTTGTCTATTCTTGACCAATATTGTTTTGGCTGTTCTGAAATTCCATATGAATATTAGGATCAACCTGACAATTTCTGCAAGAGGCAGTTGGAACTTTGATGGGGATTGAGACAAATCTCTTATCCATGAACACCATTTGTTTTAGGTCTTCTCTACTTTCATTCAATAATGCTTTATAGTTTCTAGTGTATAAGATTTGCACATCTTTTTAAAAATTTTCTTAAACTGTTATTCATGCTGATATTATTGTAATGAAAATGTTTTCTTGATATCATTTTAAATTGTTCAGTCCTACCACATGGTTTTTCCTAGAGAATATATCTTGTGTACTCAAGAAGAATGTGTATTTTGCTGACATTAGGTGAAGCATTCATTCTATAGATGTTTGTATGGTCTAGTAAATTTAGAATATTTTTAAAGTGTTCTAACTTCTTGTTGATCTTCTAAGTTTTCTATTCATTACTAAAAGTGCTGCGTTGAAGGCTCCAACTACTACTGTTCAATCATCTGTTTCTCCCTTCACTTCTTCCAGATTTTGCTTCATGCATTTTGGGACACTGTTGTTATTTATACAGGTGTCTAAAACTATTACATCTCTCTGAAAGACTAACCACTTTGTCATTACAAAATCTCTAATAACATTTTTTGCTTTAACATCTAGCATGTCTGTCATTAGAACAGATAATTTACTGTTCTTATGGTTGTTGTTTGTGTGACATATCTTTTCCCAATTTTTTACTTTCAAACTACTGTATCTATTTCATAAAAGGGCCATATATGCAAAGAAACTGGCAAATGAAGGAGGAGTTGAGAAGCAAAAGAACGAAGCAAACAAATCCAGTTTGTCAGTAAAGGGTAATTTAATAGAGAACTTACACATAGAAGTTTGATCTTGGTGGCAGCAAGACAGGCAGATCTCTGAACCATACCTTCCCAGGCCCAGTGCACATATACCATAGGGAAAGGGGGTGCAAGCTTTCTAGGGACAATTAAAGGCAACCTTCCAGAACAAGAAAAAATGCTGTATGTGTCATAGCCTGTAATTTATAAGAAAAATGTTGTGTGTGTCATAGCCTGTAATTTGTATGATAACATCAAGGTTGCTTTGCTCTAAAGGCAAGATTTAGAGTGAGTATACATTCTTATACCAAAGACAGTAAATAAGCCAGGGGTGGTGGCTCACACCTGTAATCTCAGCTTTTTAGGAGGCCAAGGCAAGCAGATTGATTTAGACAGGAGTTTGAGACAAGCCTGGGCAATATGGTGAAACCCTGTCTCTACTAAATACAAAAATTAGCCAGATGTGGTGACCTGAGGTGCACCTGTCATTCCAGCTACTGGGGAGGCTGAGGAAGGAGGATCACCTGAATCCAGGGAGCTGGAGGCTGCAGTGGGTTGTGATCATGCCACTGCACTACAGCCTGGGTGACAGGAGTGAAACCCTGACTCAAAAAAAGAGAAAAAAAAAAAGACAGTAAATAAAGAATCAGGAAGTATTCCTGGGTCTGGGTTTAAGTAGAAGTGAACATAGCAGATTGGCATCCAAGATGGAGTCACTTTTGTCTCCACACTCCACAGCTCTAATCGGGATCTTATAATCTCACACACTCACTTGTTCCACAGTTGTCCCTGAGCTGGGGACAGGGGGGAGGATGGGGGTCACTGCAGTCATTTTGATGGGTGGATAACATGTTACAACAATTTGTTTTCTACATGTAAGCAGAGGCTACAGCAGTAATATGAACAACTGGTGGTTATTACTATGCTAAGTATAAGAAACAGAATTAATAATGCCTTTTGCCATCGTGCTCCCCAGGAGCTGAAAAAAAAGAAAAACAGGAGAG